AGGGTTTAGGGTGTAGAGTCTTGACCGCTTTCAGAGGACTTCACGGGTTCTGATCGAGATTGGGCTCGCGGTCCCCAGGCTGGCGGGGAGCACTCTTCGAAGATCCCGAGCCGAATTCCGAGATCCTGAACTTCAATCCCAAATTGTAGTTTTCTAGTCTTATAGTACTATAGTATTCTAGTATTCTAGTATTCTAGTGTTATAGGATTATAGTACTATAGTATTATAGTATTGTAGTATTATAGTATTATAATTTTATAGTATTATCAAATTATAGTATTCTAGTGTTATAGTATTACAGTGTTATAGCAGTATAATATTATAGTATTATAGTATTCTAGTATTCTAGTATTCTAATATTATACGATGATACGATTATAGGTATTGTAGTCTTGGGCTTCCGGAAGTTTTGGGATCTTGTCGGATTTGCGGCCTCCTCCTCGCCGTCGCCGTCACCGTCGACGCGATCTTCAACCTGGAGACAGTTCCGAAGAAACGAAGGAAATCGGGCCTCAGGGTTTAGGGTTAGGGTGTAGGGTTTAGGGTTTGGGGTTTAGGGCTTAGGGTTTGGGGTTTAGGGTTTAGGGCTTTCGGTGACCCCCCCCCCCCCTCTGCCTTCTAGAATAGCTGCGCCGCCCCCGAGACCTTACTTAACCCTAAGCCTTCAGGATCTAGGATTCAGGGTCCAGGCCTTTTGAGGGTTCGACTCGTTTCTGTGTTACACGTCTCCAGGACAAGCCGACAATCGACTTTGACATCTTAGCAGGGCCCTTGAAACTTGGGGACTCGCGGCCTCTCAGCCCTACGGCAGAGCCCCCAAACTCTAGACCTTCAATCCTAAACCCTACAGCAAGCCGTCCTCCTTCCCCTACCACCAATCGCGCCCGAAACCTCAAGACCTACATCCTACACCCAAAATCCAACACCCTAAACCCCAACTCCTGAACCTTCAACTCACAGGATATCCTTCAACGCTCCGGCCCAACATTAAACTAAGTCGAAGATCGGCCCTCAGTACCATCAATAGCGATGCCTCCGAACCCTTAAACCTGCAACCCTAACTCTAAACCTCTAAACCCATTGAACCCCTAAGCTTCTAAACCCCCAAAGCCATAAACGCAAAAACCCGCAAAGGCGGGCACCCTAAACCCTAAACCCTAGACCCGAACCCTAAACCCTAAACCCTAAACCCTAGACCCTAAACCCGTCCTCGGAGTGCATCTGCCCAGACTCAATCGCGCGGGCGATCTGGTCGGCCTCTTCAGCAAAGAGTAGGGTTTAGGCTTTGCGGCTCAGGGTTTAGAGCTTCAGGGTTTAGAGTTTAGGGCCAGGGTTTAGGGCTTAGGTCTAGGGTTCAGGGTTTAGGGTTTGTAAGGCTTGTAGGTTTTGCAGTTGACCCTAAACCCTCAACCCAAAACCCTAAACCCCAAACCCCCTGAACCTTCAAGTTGAGGGTTGAGGGCTTAGGGCTGGGCATCGAGAGCTGGAGTCAGGGAAAAGGAGCACGAGGAGCTGTCAACCCTCTTCAGCCCTCGACCTTTCTGGCTGACGTAATAATGACAACAATGTTTTTTTTGTAGTAATAATAACAATAATAATCATAATCATTAATAATCGTAACAATAATCATACTAATAATAATGATAATAATAATGATAATAATAGTAATAATAAACATGATGTTAATAGGCCGGGGCGCTTGTGTCCTAAAACCGTAGAACCTGCTCTTTCGGTCTTGCGGGGGCTTCTAGGGTTTGGGGTTTGAGGTTTCGGCTTTTGTGGAAGCTCGGCCTCTTCTCTCTTTTCAACGGGAATCGCGTTTTTGTCCAACGGGGTGGTGTAGTACTCCTGCCGCAGAGACACACGAAGCAAGACGAGGGGCGATCTCCACTCAAGGGGTCCCCAAACCCGAAACCCTGAAACCCGAAACCTTCGTCAAACCCCAAATTACTAAACCTCAAAACCCTCACAACAAGGCTACTCAGGCTGATGGCTGAAGATGGTTGAAAGGGTTCTGGGGCTTCGGTCGCGCGCGCGCGCGCGCGCGTGCGCGCGAAAAGGGGACTTGGACCATGCATGCGAGGCGACTGCAAGCTTAAGAACCTCGTGTTTTGGGGATCCCCTAAACCCTAAACCCTAAACCCTGTTCTCGGCAGCTTCGGATCTGAATCCAGTTGGGGGCGGGTTAGGCTTTCCGGGTTTTGGGGGTGTTGGGGTCTCTGCTTGGGTTGAGGGCCCAGAGCAGAGTCACCTGCGCCTACAATGGTTGGAGTTTCGACCTGGGCTCGTTCTGCCCCACAAGGAGGGATTTTCATGGCTTCAATCTACGCAGATAAAGAAAGCCTGGCATTCGCTGCTGCACGCGCCGGGCGAAAAGATCTCACACCTGCTGTAGTACTGTAAGGTAAGGTCCGGGAGAGAACGTTCAGGAAATTCTTCTGCTGGCGACGCCCGGAACAAAATAGCCTGTGAGAAATCAAAAGTCGAAAACCGCAGTGTCGTTCCACGTTTGTGGTTGCATGGCCAAGTACTGCGCCGTACAGCAAGAACGCAAAGGGCGTGCACAAACGGCAGCCTGCGCGCAGCCCACGCGGATCAGGCGAACTGTGTTCAATCTGGAGGTTCAGGGTTCAGAGCTCTCTACACGATGTCGATTGCACGATGGGCTTGGGGCAAAAGGAGGCCACGTGACACCCAGGGCCACACAAGGAGCCAAAACAAGGTGCTCAGCTCGAGGTTGCCCTAAATGATCTTCCGTCCCCCTTCCAGGGTTGAGGGCTTCATGAGTGCCCATTTGCTGAGCAGCCACTTGTCAGAAGGACCGAAGTCCTTCAACTGACATTCAAGCTCCCTATTCCCCCCCCTCCTAAAGATGTTCCAGAATTAGCAGGGTTTATGGTTTAGGGTTATACTGAAGACGATAATGGAAAAATTTGACGAGTGGAGCGAATCGGGAGCCGGGTCCTCATTGAAGGTCGTGGCTACACCATACCTTGGCAGAAGACAAGCATGGATGCCCCGAGAGAGCCCAAGACCCCTCAGTGCAGCAGTAGGCTACACCGCCTGGGATTTCTTGGGGTATTGCTTTTTAATGCGGGGTTGGCGTGCGGAGGTTTCGGGCTCTTGTGCTAAGGCGGACGGCACGTCCCACGCAAGTATGCGCCCAAGCAAGCGCGGCCAGCGCTGGATCTTGCTCTCCCAGCATGGGCTACTGGGCCTATAAGCCCCATAGTCAACCCTATAAAAGGGACGTTGTAACCGGGGGAAAAGGTGTACAACAGCCCATGCTTCTCTGGCATGTAAAGAAACCACCCCTAGACCCGAAGCCCACCTAAGAGAGGCAAGGAGCTTCTGCTCGTTGGCGGCGAACTGATCCCACTGCCCATCTGCGTGTCCGTCCTGCGGTCGCTGTGGCGAACTCAGGGAATCTGGGCGCTGACTTGGGTCGCTGTGGCGAACTCAGGGAATCTGGGCGCTGATCGCTTCAACTGGCACCTTATCTTGTAAGGAGCCCCATAGGGATGACCCAGGAAGGGCGCAGAATCTAGGTCAACCGATAAACCTGAAACTTCTTTTAGCTTTCTTGGCGCTTGCCTTTGGGCTCTGGGGTCTCTCGGGTTTATCGGGCTTGGGGTTCCGGCTCAGGATGTTCCATCTACAGGGTTTAGGAAGCTTGGGCATCCAGTCCTCCAGGCCGCCAAAATCTTGGCCGTACGCGCCATCCTTATGCTGGGCAGGACGTTCAGGGTTCGCAAAGGCTTGGCATGTCCAAGCTGGCTATTTAGGTCCTGAAACCTGAAACTGTTTAGGGTTTAAGGCTTAGGATTTGGGCTTGGGGTACACGTCTCGTTGACAAATGACCCCACACAGGGTCAAGCTCAAAAGCCCGAACCCTCTAACAGCCCTCAACCCTCTTTAGAGCACTCAAGCCCTGCAGTCTCACATTCCTGGGACCTGCAGCTCAGGCCCTGCAGTCCAGCTGAAGCCCTATTCCCTTACATTCCAAGGGTGTGCATGGCATCGCGCCCGCCTTAAGCCGCCTACTTACTCAAATTGCAGAGGCGCGTGTCACTCTGCAACGGCTGGTTGACTCCAAACTACCGAGGTACACTCCGGATCGTACTACATAAACTCCCGAACCCCGACACCCAGACCCCAGCCGGCCCTGAACCCTAAACCCTAAACCCTATACCTTAAACCCTAAACCCTTCCCCCCCAAAAGCCCCCCCAAGGGCTCAAGGACCCGGGGCCGGAGCCGCATTCCAAGGCACCAAGTCGCGGCTGGACTCTGTGTCCCTCCTGTTTGAGGGGTGACAGGGGTTTGGGGTTTAGGGTTTGGGGTTTGGGGTTTGGGGTTTGGGGTTTAGGGTTTAGGGGCGTCTAGGGTTTAGGGTTTAGGGTTTAAGGTTTAGGGTTTAGGGTTGGGGTTCAGGGTTGAGGGTTGAGGGTTGAGGGTTGAGGGTTGAGGGTTGAGGGTTGAGGGTTGAGGGTTGAGGGTTGAGGGTTGAGGGTTGAGGGTTGAGGTTTGAGGGTTGGGGTTGAGGGTTGAGGGTTGGGTTGAGGGTTGAGGGTTGAGGGTTGAGGGTTGAGGGTTGAGGGTTGAGGGTTGAGGGTTGAGGGTTGAGGGTTGAGGGTTGAGGGTTGAGGGTTGAGGGTTGCGGGTTGAGGGTTGAGGTTGAGGGTTGAGGGTTGAGGGTTGAGGGTTGAGGGTTGAGGGTTGAGGGTTGAGGGTTGAGGGTTGAGGGTTGAGGGTTGAGGGTTGAGGGTTGAGGGTTGAGGGTTGAAGGTTTGGGGTTGGGGGTTTGGGGTTTGGGGTTTGGGGTTTGGGGTTTGGGGCTTGGGGCTTGGGGTTTGGGGTTTGGGGTTTGGGGTTTGGGGTTTGGGGTGATGCCGAAGCGGAAGAGCTGTCACCCTTTTTGCGCCCGCGACGTTCTTCACCGGCCAGCGCGTGAAAACCGTGTAGCAGCCTTTTTGCAAGAGAGATGGCCCAAAGCCCGAAGCTACTGATGCATAAGTGTCCGTCCATCCATCGGGTCAACAAAGCGGTGCTCCGCACCTGTGCAACCGCAGTTGAAGTACTCCTCGACTGCCCGAGTCTCCAAGAATTCTCTATAAGTCGGTAGTATTTTGATCCTATGGGGGTTTCCGAAATGAGGGGGACTTATTGGGGTGCTTATTAAAAAGGGAATCCTACTGTTTGGGGCTCCATATTCGGGGTCCCCTAAATTCGTAAACTTCGTAAACCCCCCAAAGCTTGATCATTCTACACAATCGTGTAGCCCCAGCTGCGGCAAAGGCTCCAGTCGCGTAAGGCACCGGAAGCAGAAGCGGGCGCGGCAGGTGCGGCAGATCATCTTGTGGCACGTCTCTGACTCCTTCTGCAGGCCTTCTCCACAGCCAGGGCACCGTTTTAGGCCCAAACGCACCAGTGTGGCGCTGGACAGGTCGCTAGGCCCCACCTCTCCACGGCGCCTCGTGCGCTCCTGGGCTCTGTGAAGAGCGTCCGTGCCTAGCAGCTGCCGCAGAACCGCATCCTCGAGCACAGCCGAGCACTGTGGGCAGCGCATCTCTGCGGCAGCGAGCCCCTGTGCCTCCTGCTCCATGGCCCAGCGAGAGGCGCAGCTCCAACAGACCTGGGCACAACATTTTAAATGTTGTGCTGATTGTGCTGGCAGATCTCCAGGCGCTCGGAGGGGCTCGCAGCAGATGGAGCACGCTTTGTTTTCAGCGCCGTTGGCCTCGGCCTTGTTGCGGCGGCCCCAGCGCTGGCGCGGCTCCAACGGCTTGGCAACATCCTGCAGGGACAGCTGCAAGGCGAGCTGCAGCTCCGCATCTTCCTGGCGTTCCAAGAGGCCTTCGGCCGATGCACCATCCGCCGCGAGCACGTCGAGGTTCGGAGCCAGCAGCGTGTTGCCGCGAATGGCGTAGGGGGCGAACGGGTGGTTCCTGGGACGGGCTCCGGCCATGGCGACTGGGACAACGGAGGCCTTCACAGTCAGCACCTCGACATCCCAATCGGTGCCGACCGCAAAGTGCATTGAGACCATCTGCCGTGAGGCCGGAGGAATGACGTCTTCGACCTTGTAGCGCCGCCACTGTGTCCGAGCTCCAACTTTGAAGCTATCCTCGTTCCTCTCCTCACACCAATCTCCCAGCTGCGATCCCCGGGAGGTCTGTGTGACCACATGGTTGCCTTCAACTGTCGCTTCGAAGAGCAGGGCCGCTTTGGCAAAGGTGTTGTCCAGCAGCAGCAACACTGCACCCTCTGCCCGCAGCTCCAACAGCTCCACCGTCAGCGAAGTCTCCCCGCCTGGCTTGGACTTCCGCATGCTGCCTTGGACCTCCCTTCCTTCTCCGGGAACACAGTCTTAATCCATACAAATCCGAAACTCAAAAAAAAACCCCCCCGCGCCAAACCCCCACCCCTCCAAAACAAGGGGACCTGCTGCCGTCCGAACATGGACCGGTCTCCGGGAACCCACACCGCGCAAGCCAGGGGCCGCGCCGCGAGCTGCCGCAGCCACCAGGCAAAAGAGCGGCTCCCAAGGTGCCCTGCTTTAGGGTTTCGGGTCTGGAGTTGGGTTTCGGGGTGGTATGGTTTCGGGCTGATACAAACCTCTGACTTGGGCGACCTACACAGAATGTTTTGAGCCAACTGAACTATAGGTCACACTCTGAAGGCCTTCCCAGCTGACGCTCGTGATGCTGCCTCCATGCCCCAATACGGCTCAAGGCCTTCCCAGCTGATGCTCGTGATGCTGCCTCCATGCCCCAATACGGCTCAAGGCCTTCCCAGCTGATGCTCGCGATGCTGCCTCCATGCCCCAATAGGTCTCAAGGCCTTCCCAGCTGATGCTCGTGATGCTGCCTCCATGCCCCAATACGGTTCAAGGCCTTCCCAGCTGATGCTCGTGATGCTGCCTCCATGCCCCAATACGTCTCAAGGCCTTCCCAGCTGATGCTCGTGATGCTGCCTCCATGCCCCAAGGCCTTCCCAGCTGATGCGCGTGATGCTGCCTCCATGCCCCAATACGTCTCAAGGCCTTTCCAGCTGATGCTCGTGATGCTGCCTCCATGCCCCAATACGGCTCAAGGCCTTCCCAGCTGATGCTCGTGATGCTGCCTCCATGCCCGTCTCAAGGCCTCCCAGCTGATGCTCGTGATGCTGCCTCCATGCCCCAATAGGTCTCAAGGCCTTCCCAGCTGATGCTCGTGATGCTGCCTCCATGCCCCAATATGGTTCAAGGCCTTCCCAGCTGATGCTCGTGATGCTGCCTCCATGCCCCAATACGTCTCAAGGCCTTCCCAGCTGATGCTCGTGATGCTGCCTCCATGCCCCAAGGCCTCCCAGCTGATGCGCGTGATGCTGCTCCATGCCCCAATACGTCTCAAGGCCTTCCCAGCTGATGCTCGTGATGCTGACTCCGTGCTTCCCAGCTGATGCTCGTGATGCTGCCCCCCAATACATCTCAAAGCCTTCCCAGCTGATGCGCGTGATGCTGCCTCCATGCCCCAATACGGCTCAAGGCCTTCCCAGCTGATGCTCGTGATGCTGCCTCCATGCCCCCATACGGCTCAAGGCCTTCCCAGCTGATGCTCGCGATGCTGCCTCCATGCCCCCAATAGGTCTCAAGGCCTCTCCAGCTGATGCTCGTGATGCTGCCTCCATGCCCCAATATGGTTCAAGGCCTTCCCAGCTGATGCTCGTGATGCTGCCTCCGTGCTTCCCAGCTGATGCTCGTGATGCTGCCTCCATGCACCGATACGGCTCAAGCTGATGCGCGTGCTGCTGCCTCCATTCCCCAATACATCTCAAGGCCTTCCCAGCTGATGCTCGTGATGCTGCCCTCCATGCCCCAATACGGCTCAAGGCCTTCCCAGCTGATGCGCGTGATGCTGCCTCCATGCCCCAATACGTCTCAAGGCCTTCCCAGCTGATGCTCGTGATGCTGCCTCCAGGCCCCAATACGTCTCAAAACCTTCCCGGCTGATGCACGTGCTGATGCTCGTGATGCTGCCTCCATGCCCCAATACGTCTCAAGGCCTTCCCAGCTGATGCTCGTGATGCTGCCTCCATGCCCCGATAAGGCTCAAGCTGATGCTCCTGATGCTGCCCCCATGCCCCAATACGGCTCAAGCCCTTCACAGCTGATGCTCGTGATGCTGCCTCCAAGGCCTTCCGAGCTGCTGCTCGTGATGCTGCCTCCATGCCCCAATACCTCCATGCCCCAATATGGCTCAAGGGGCCTTGGGCGGGGTTGGGCAGAAAGCCTGTTAAACCCCAGCCGAGAGCTTTGAACCTCCCACGCCTCTCGCCAGGCTCCGAAGCCAGGCGCTGCACCTCCACCGGCTGCGAACAGTGGACTCTGAGCCGCCTCTGAAGCTTTAAGGGTTTAGGGCTTAGGGCTGGGTTTAGGAAGGGTTTAGGGTTTAGGTTTAGGGTTTAGGGCTGGGTTTAGGGTTTGTCAAGTGTGCTTGCGGGTGTTCAGGGAGCTGCGAAGGCCCAGGGTCTTGCGGGGTTTAGGGCGGACCCTGGTCAAGCTTGAGGCCCAGCTGCACGGGACCCGGCCAAGCGCGGCGACTGAAAGGCAAGACCAGCCAGCTTCCAGCCTAAGGGTGTAGGATTTTGGGTTCATCTCGGATTGAGGGTTTGCTGGTGTTTGGGTTTGGGGTTTAGGGTTCTTTGGGAGGGCTTGGGGCGCGCGGGTAGACTCCACATGCTGGCCCCGGGGCCGCAGGCCTTGTTCGGAGCTAGGGCTACGCGGCAGCTGCCAACCGGCCGTGCTCCGAAGAGGGCCGCCACGGCCACCTCTGGGTTTCAGAAGAAGTCTAGCAGTGCAGGAGGTAGATAAGACCTCATAAGATTCGATGTTGAGAAAACCCCATCATAGTTCGACTGAGGCTTTATAAAATATGGGGGGTGGCTTTGGATGGCTGGATGGCTTTGGATTGCAGGGCTAGTAGGGCTCAGGAGGCTGAGGGCAGTATGTTTCAGTAGTTTCGGCGCCTCGCCGCTCGAAGAATCGAGCACCACCAGCGACAGGTCGTTCAGCACCTGGCCCATGGAAGGCTGAAGGAGCCGGGCCCCTTTTGGGATGGGCTGCAGGAGTGAGAGCCACACCTCGCAGGGCTCAGCGCCAGCATACGCAGACAGGCGGAGACAACAGCCACGGATTCCGGTGCCCCGCTCGGGCGTGAACTCGCCCTCGAAGGTCCGCGTGTGCAGCAATGCACCGCCGGTAGAGGCAGCGTGGCACATGCAGACCTGGGAGAACACTGAGAGGAAGTCCATGAATTGCACCCAGAAAGAGCCATCTGCATAAGTCGAGGCCTCTGCCGGCGAACCTCGGAGCATCGACAGAATCCGCTCGTACGCAGCCGTGGCACTGGAGCCTGTGACACGCGGGTTGCGCAGGCGGATCCGACCCGGCGAGCCGTTTGGGCCCTCGGACATGTCGAGCACTGCAAAGGCCGAGGAAGCTGAGGTCTGCAGAAGCTGGGAGACACAGCAAAGCAAAGTGCCGTCCCGCTGGTGGCCGAGCAAATACGCCCAGAGCTCCTTCGGATCCAAGAGCTCACCGACGCTGTTCCGAGGCTTCCCAAGATGCACCTGCTCGACGATGCTGCCGGTAAGATCTTCCAGGAAGACGGACAAGGCTGTGCCAGGAAAAGCAAACTGATAGGCCCCGTACGCCTTGGCATAGGCCTTCTCGAGAAGCGGAATCCAGAGTTGGTTGCCTGCACAGCGCCCGAAGGCCAGGAGCTCGTGGAAGTTCTTTTCGAGCTTCGGACCACTGGATGCCATGGGCAAGCGCTCGTCCAGCAAGATTGATCGCCAGATGCCCTCTGTGCAAAGCCGGATCTCGTGGCAACCGGCTGTGGTGACTGTGGTGGTGGCCACGTTGGGCAGGAGCTTCTGCAAAGCGCTGGGTCGCTCTGAGAGGATCGCGAGCGCATCGACGAACAGAGCATCTCCCAACGACTCGCACCCCGGCCCAAGGCGAGCATCCTCGGGCCGAAAGCCATCCCGGCCCACCACGACCAGGTGCTGTGCAAGCCATGCGCTGTTGGTGCTGCTTGTGCTGTCCGGCGCAACGGTGCGCAGCCGTACCCAGGAGAGGGCCTGCGCCTCCGGTGTGGTGGGGAGCTCTCCGAAGCTGAAGAAGCGGCAGGCGCGTGCAGCGCAGCGGAAGTAGGGCCGCCGGGCCACCATGCCAGGCAGCTGGACCCTCCCCTGGCGAGCGCGACGGCCGCAGGGGCAGCGTGGTGCGTCGGGCACCTCCTCTTCCTCCTCATCCTCCTCGTGGTCGACGGTCTTCAAGAGCTCCATGAGCGTCTCCTGTCCGCGGCGCACAGGGGGGCCCTGCAAGCCATCGATGCTTCGGGCCTGTGCCGGAAACTCGTGGTCCACGAATCCCTCAGGCGTTCCCTGGCCCAAGAGTGCCATCTGCAGTCCAAACTTGTGCTGCTCCAGAACTTCGGGGTTCTCCACCTTAGGTATGCAGGTGCCACATATCCACCTAACTACACGCATACAGCCAACTCAGGAAAAATCTAAATCACAACTACCAGACCTCACATTCCACTCCAAAGCCACGTCCTCTCCAAAGATGAGCTCCCATCCAGCATCCGGCTGCAGTGGCTTGGGCGCTGGCGCCGGGCCAGATGCCACAGCACCCTTCGCACGTCGGAACCGCGACGCTCCCGCCGCCATAGTCTGCAGGGACGGGCTGCTTTGACAGCATCACGGAGATGCATGGTCGTGAAGGTCACGCGGACATGAAGCGGCAGCTTGGAAACTTCCCCAAGCGCTTTAGCCCCACCGGCGAAACAGCTCAGAAAGGGTTAGGTGCCTGAGCTGCCACTTTGATTCCGTATGTGTATGCGCATATGTTTATGCAGACATGTGTCCTACACACTTGTTGTGATATTCACATGTGAAGGCCATGCTTTGATGAATGTGTCTGCTTCGATGTTCGAATGAGCTGCCCAGAGCAGCACCGTCACCAACAACCGGCTTCCCAGCAACCCAAACCCTAAACCCTAGACCATGAACTCGGGACCCCTACAGGCTACCTTAAGATGCTCCGAAGTCCCTGCATTCCACGATATATATGTCCTCAAAAGGATCCGCCAAACTGTCAGGCTCTTCAGGGTCTGAAGGCAGGGAGGTGCCCATGGAGCCACAGGGAAGCTGAGGGAAGGATTAGGAGGCCTACTACCTTGAACCGTTGAGCTTGAAAAACACACCCTCACCCCCTGGCTCCCGCTGATCTCAGAGTCGATCGCGAAGGCCTTGCGGCCTGGACGAGGGGAGATGGCAACGAACAAACAGTGTTGAGTCGACAACCCCCCAACACCCCAAACTCGAACAAGCCCGCAGCGCGCAACGAAACTAAGCCCAAAAACAGCTAGCACACGAAAACAACAATTAGCTAAAATGCACTTTCAAAACTACGCCCGAAACGCCCCGAAGAACATCTAGCACAAACAACAAATTCGAATCTCAAAGCAAACAAAGACGAAAAGACCTAAGCAAAAATATATAGACAAACAAGCTGAACCCAAAAATGGAGCCTTCCCCTTCTCGGGACGGCGGCGGCACGTTCACGGCCGAAACCTGCACTGTTTGTTCACAGCATCCCCAACTACAGCCCGTTCGAGGTTTAGGTTTTCGGGGCTTGGGGTTTCTGTATGAAGAAACGCGAAGAGACAGGCCCACATCACAGAGTCCGGGTAAGTAGGTATGTAGGTAGGTAAGTGGGTTTGGTGGGTAGGGAGGGGTTTTGAGCTGTGTGCAAAGCAAAGACCGCCGTCTGCGGGATTTTAAGGGTTCAGAATTTTGGCTCAGGCTTTAAGGTTCTTGGTAGGTTCCCAGTGCTTCGTGCTGAGTGAGGCTGCGTCCCAAACCCCCTGAACCCCAAAACGAATGTTCCCGCGAATAGGCCTGCAGGAAGTCCTTCCCGGAGATGACCAGCATGTCGATCTCAGGCCGCATCAAATTTCAAGACACGTCCCAAGGGCTTCTGGAGGCCGGGGAACCCTGTTTCGCCAAACCCGATATGTGACAGATCCCAACCTCCAACCAACGAGTATGCATGTACCATATACAATGAAACCAACAAGCACATATCAACGCACAGCTAGATGCCACACATAGAGAAACCAATGCAGAAGTCTCACAATGTTGGGGGGGCTCAAAGTTCAGTTGGGCCCGCGTTGCGTAGGTTCCGATCCTCAGGACAAGGCCTGGGGTTCTGAAACCCTCACTCCGACTCCTGAACCCTCTTCTTGGGATTCTTAGGGCCCCAGAGTCCCAGAGTCCCAGAGTCCCTGAACCCTAAACCCTAAACCCGAAACCCTAAACCCCAAACCCCAAACCCTAAACCCGAAATGGGCAGCAATGAAGCCTGGGCCTCTGACAAAACCCCCCGAAAACACCCCGCTGAGCCGGCCGCGACCTCCCCGCTCTTGTTGTTGCTCTCGGACGGAAGCCTGGCGTGCGGCTGGTTCCTGAAACTCTGAAACTCTGTGAACCGAGGCTCCCTACAAATTTGACTTGGGCAGTGTGGGTTTATGGGGCCCTGGCGGAGAGAACTGTCAGTGCACCGCACATACGGGAACTGCCGAGTTTGGGGCTCAGGGCTAAGCCTAAATTCCCTAAATCCGAAGCCGACATCTTCAGACCTGCGTTCCAGCACCCGGCCTTCTGGCCGTCTTCAGCGTGATGGAATAGTCGCTGTCCAGGGCACAGCTGCGGGCGCAAGCGATGGAGGGTTTTCGGCGCCTAAACCCTGAAAGGCGGGTGCCCTTGGAGATTGAGCTTTGGCTTGCGGATGCATGCGGGGCTGTGGGATGTAAAACCACCTTCAACCCTCAAAACCATGAGCCGAACCCTCCTAAACCCTTGAAAGCAGCCCTAGACCCTGACCCTTTAACCTTCGGACACCAGAGCCCCTCACACAACCCGGCCTATGGAAGGTGCCCTCGTACATGACCTGAGAAGCGGCCAGGGGCTCCGAGACAAGGGGGTCGGTCTCAGGGGTTTAGGGTTCAAGGTTTAGGGTTTCGGGTTTAGGGTTGGGTTCAGGGTTGAAGGTGAAGGGCTTCGGGGCTCTTATTGCAACATCTCTGGAAATTCCAAGACTGGGCGTTGATGGCCCCTTCGAGATACAAGCAAGTGCAAGCCAGGGGTCCCTTATTATGGGGGGACCCCCATTACGTCCCTCACCGACCTCCAGAACACTTCACGGGCCTAACTGTTGGAACGCTCAGCCCCTTTTGCCAAGGGCCTCTTTGAGGTTCTCTGAATTTTCGTGAAGGTCTTTTTTTATGGGATTTAGGGTTTAGGGTTTCGGGTTTAGGGTTTAGGGTTCAGGGACCAGAGTTTAAGGGCTGTTGAATGAAGCCCTCCCGTCCGGGCCACGGGCGTTGTTTCTCAACGACGCGGTCACCTTGTGTCCGATGAGGCTCGCGAGGCAGAAGGTCTGTGCGCGAAGCCGCGGAGGATTGTCTAGGGCTCTAGGGGAGTGGAAGTCCGGGGGTTTAGGGGCGTAGGGCTTCGGATTTTCCAGGTTTTGGTATTTGGGGGTTTGGGGGTTTTGGGGGTTTAGAGTTCAGGGGTAAGGGTCCAAGGCAGTCCCTGGCGCACCAGGCGGTCTTTGTTGATGTCGGGCCCATCCGGCCGACCACCAACTGATCGTGCTTCGCCTGGGGCACTCGCGGAAAGGGTGGCGGGAGCTCAGGGAGTAGGGCTTCAGGGAGGGATGAGGCTTCAGGGAGGGATGAGGGTTGAACCTCACGATCAAAGTTCATAACAACAACAGCAGCAGCAGCAGCAAGTGTAGTCATGTATAGAACTCTCAGGGAAGCTCGTGAACCGAGGGCTTTAAGGCAGCGGCTTCTTGGAGGCCTGGTCGTCCTGTTCATTCCCGCCATTGCAGGGCTCCTGGCACAAGCTTTCCTAAACCCTAAACCCCTAAACCCCTAAACCCTAAACCCCGAAACCCTATCAGGCCACGGGCTCAGGGGCCTTCGGGGCCTCTCGGGGCTTCTGGGGCTTAAAACGGTTCTTGGGCCACGTAGAGGCAGCCAGCCCTCCGACGTCGCACTAATTCGATGCTTGTCATGCGTATGGCTCGCAAACTACTGCAAATAAACCTAAACATTGCTAGTTCTTGTTACTATTATTCTTATTGTTATCATTGTAATAATGATGATGAGTTACTATTCACAACATAGCAAAAAATAGACACTTGACTCCTAGAGAGAGAAACAAAAATATGAATCGAACTTAAAATCAGAATGATCATACTAAGAATTTATTGCTATTATTTTCGGCCTCAGCCGCCCACAAGCACCACTCCGCGACCACGAAGGGCGAGTGGATGGGCGTCAACCTCTTTAAAACATTTGCGAGACTTCAGGCTTTAGGGTGTGCCTTAGGCTGCACTGGTTCACGTACGTACGGCTCTCAGGGATCGTAAACGAGCGGTTGTGTCATTCAACAAGCTGAAGGTTTGGGATGTTTGCGCCCCATCTGCGGTGTTTGCTGGCACTCGATCAGCGAGAAGGGTCGTGCTCCGGTTGAAGGGAGCAGGGTTTGCATCACTGAGGAAATCGAGGCTTATGGGGTTTAATTGCGGGGTTGGCATCCTTGAAGGTCTTGCATTGCGGGGTTGGCGTTCTTGGAGGTCTTGCGGAACCCCAAAAAACCAAGCGCCGAGCGAATGGAAAAGAAGGAGGGGCGCAGCCACAGTGGTTTGGCCACCCCTATGAGCTGCAGCCACAGCCACGGTCGTGCAGGAATCGTTCCCGGGCTTTCTGGTTGAAAATCGGCGGTCAGAAGGTTCGAAGGTTTCACCAAATCCTTGAAACCTTGTACCACAAGCCCCGAGACCTGTACCCAAGCTAAGCCGGATAAGCTGCAACGCAGGCTTTTCTTAGGGCTTTCTCGGTTTGGGAGGTCCTCTCTCCTTTCTTTCGAGCAGGGTGGTGGCAAAGCATCCGAGACGATGCACCACTCAAAATTGTTGGGGTTTAAGGGTGTAAGGCTGTAGAGTAAGCTGGAGAGTGCAACCAAAAGCACCTCGCCCATCACGACATGGCTTGTGCAAGCACCACAAGCAGCTTGTCAAGATTAGGCAACAGAACCCCAACAATTCAGGGCGCGGACCACATATCTAAGCGTCCTACAAGGGCTTAGGCTTTGAGGATCGAGAGTTCCCAAAACTGTAAGCCCTAAACCCCAAACCCTAAACCCTAAACCCTAGGGATTAGATTTCAAGGGAAAATTACACAAGCTCCTCGCACATTTTCTCCTACTTCCGCTGTGCCCGGCGGCGGCTCGCCCACTCGGCCTCCTCCTGGGCCCACCTCCACACGAGGTTGCACGTGGCATTCGAACTTGGGGTCCCCTTGTCAGGTCGAGGTGATTGTCAGGGATTCTCTCCTGAAAGGTATTCCTTCTATACCGGGGGAAAGCCCTTAGGGTCCCCTGACAACCTGAAGCCTTGAAGCCCCAAAGCCCTCGGGGGACCTCGCAGCCTCCTCCTTGCGCTCTGCCTCAGCCGCGCGGAGGAATTCCTGAGGCCGGCAAGGGGTTTAGGGTTTAGGGTATAGGGTTCAGGGTAGGGCCGAGTAGGGTTTGGCGTCGCAAGCGCGGTGCACTTCATATGGCGAGCCCGGGCAGGTTACGAGGCTCCTCTAGGGTTTCTCGCAAAGCAAGACCAAGCTTTCGGGCTGACCCCCCTGAACAATCGGCACGGGTCCTCGTGGTTGCGCCTCTGCTGATCTTCCATTGCCACATAGCCTTCCTGGGTACAGCGGGGGCGAGGCGCTGAGGCATCCGCTCAAGGGGGCCCTCTTGGCCACTTGCACCGACGCTCGCGCCCTTTTTGCAGGGCAGCTGCTTGAGTCCGTGCAGCTCACGGCCAAGATGAAGTTTGTCCTTGAAAAGCTGCGCTGGGCAGCGCAGGGTTGCTGGGGTTGCGAGGTGCCGAACTGGGTAATCCTCCGCCTGCAGTACCAGGACTTGGGTGCCTGACGGCACCGAAAGTCCAGGGAAAGGCTGCAAGCATCACATGTCACCCGGGCACCGCGCGAGGAGCAAGAGGCCTTCGGTGGAACGGAGGCCTCTCTACCGGTCTCAGGAGCAAAAATACTGGTCCTGGCCGCACTGTGCGCATTCATCATCGTGCTGGTGATCTCTGGTACTGCAGCAGGAGTCCCACCAAGCCGCAAAGGCACATCGATACTCCCCGTTGTTCTGGCCGAGGGCATCATATGCACGCAAACATTTCGGGTTGCTCTTTGTGAAGTAGTCACCATTAAACTCCGCCACACAGGCGCTCTTAAAGAAACCTCTCGGACACTTCATTTGGATGAGGTCGAACGTGCTCGAGCAAATATCATGTACGTCCCAATTGGGCAGTGCACCAGTGGCATACAAGGTACCGTAGATCACGGCTTTCACGATTCCATCGTCCTGGGCAAAACCTGCAATTGCCCTCACAGCCGATTCATGGAGGTTCTTTCCCGCGATCTCTTCCGCCGCACACTTCTGCCAGCATGCGGTGGATAGCGCCTTTGTCGGCTTGGCACCATAGTTCAGAGCTGGGATCTGTTGTGGCAAAGTCTCGCTCTCACAGGTTCCTGGCATGTCAAGCTCCAAGAACTGCGACCCCTTGTGACCCTGGTTTATGCCTGGGCTTTAAGGCAAAGAGCAACAGAGACAAAGGATGCAGCCAAGCGGCTGGTGCGGGTCTCATTCTGCTTCAAAGCGTTGTGCGCATGGATCTCCTGAAGCACCGTCTGCACGCCGCGCTCTGACCAGCTCAGGCCACAGCGCAACCAAACAACCAATGCTGCGAACCGCAGCATCAAGATCTGGCAAACAAACAAGGAAACAAGTTTGAACCAACGGCTTCAATCGGCTTCAATCTATCAGCCAAGCATGTTGCGAGTTCAGACATGTGACGAGCTGAAGCTCCTTTGCACCCGTGACGCATGTAGCGAAAGCATGGCACATCCCGACGAAGCCCCACAAACACGGGATTCTGCACTCGCGGATGCTGAGCAAGAGGCCTCAGCCTCTGCAATCTTCCGGTGCATGTCGGCCTGCACTCAGGAAAAAGTGACATCGAGAATCGAGGTGCTGTGCAAACTTGAAGGGCTGCGGTGTTGGATTTAGTGGCGACAATGGCGCCCGACCTCTTGCAGCTCCACCCTCTTCACGTACACGTTGCAAGTAAAGAAAACCCTCAAAGCGCTGAAGGCCGAATCCCAAGCATGCACGCACCCATGCACACACTCCCACCTTCCGATATGCTTCGACTGTCTGACCCTTTCCGATGTAGACAAGCTTTGTATTGCAGAACGGTAGAAACTGGTATTTGCAGGTTCATGCGTACATAAAAGTGGGGTGATAAGTACCCTTAACAAGGTGATAACCATGGTTACTCTTTCGTCGTTTTTCAATGCGCAAGCTTGGTAGCGGCCGTCAGCACCGACACCATTCAAAGTGCATACTGTATACAGGATACCCATGAACCTCCAAGTAGACCTCCGCTGCTTTAGACAGCATCACAGAAGCGCGGGGCCAGGCAAGGGTTCGAAAGCTCTTCTCAACCCCAAGTCGAGCAAAGGAGCACCCAACACACGCAGCAGCACAGCGTGATTCATGATTCAGGAAAAACTGCCCCTAAACCCTAGACCCTAAACTCTAAACCCTAAACTTCTGAACCCGAAACCCTTCTTTCCTATCCCCATCTCATCTAACGAAAGGCGTGGTCACCCCCCCCCAAAAAAAATATACTCTATACATATATCTATATATCTATATATATATATATACATATATCTATACATCTATATATCTATATATCTATATATCTATATATCTATATATCTATATATATCTATATATCTATATATCTATATATCTATATATCTATATATCTATATATCTATATTTCTATATTTCTATATATCTATATACATATATAGATGTATGTTGGGATGTTTCCGCTTAGACTAACTGTCCTTAAAAGGGATTCTACTAGGCGGACTACCATCCATAGTCGGCTTCATGGCCTGGTACTGCCGGAAGACGGAACGCTGCACTGGGCCGAGCCCTACCTCTGCCAAGAGCTTTTGGGTTTTGAAGTTTACGGTTTAGGGTTTAGGGTTTAGGGTTTAGGGTTAGGGTTTAGGGTTTAGGGTTTAGGGTTTAGGGTTTAGGGTTTAGGGTTTAGGGTTTAGGGTTTAGGGTTTAGGGTTTAGGGTTTAGGGTTTAGGGTTTAGGGTTTAGGGTTTAGGGTTTAGGGTTTAGGGTTTAGGGTTGAGGGTGGAGGGTTTAGGGTGTAGGGTTTAGGGTTTAGGGTTTAGGGTTTAGGGTTTAGGGTTTAGGGTTTAGGGTTTAGGGTTTAGGGTTTAGGGTTAGGGTTTAGGGTTTAGGGTTTTGGGGGTTTAGGGGTTTAGGGTTTAAGGTTTAGGGTTACTTACAGGCCCTCCTGCGAAAATCGAGCCCCATCCATCGGAAGGTTCGAACATGGGTGCCCTGCATTCTCAAAGGCCCGAAGACCCCGAGGCCCTAAGCCTCTCAACTCTAACCACCTGAACACCTAAACCCTAAACCCCTAAACCCCAAACCCCCAAACCCTAAACCCCTGTCGGCCTTCTTGGTCGTCGGCGCCGGCTTTGTGGCGTTTTGGGCAGCGCCGTGGAGGGCAGGCCCGCTTTGTGCTCCGCGGCCTTCACTTCAACAACACGAGGGCTGCAGCGGGGCTTTAGGGTTTAGGGCATTCAAGGCGTCTTCAAAGTTTAAGGGCTTCAGGGCTTTGGGGCTTCTAGGCTTCTAGGGCTTGACGGCTTTCGGGTGAAGGGCCTTTAGGCCTTTTTAGGTTTACTTAAGGCGTAGAGATAGGGGCTGATTTTGTCGAGGTTCAGAGCACTCACCCGCGCTGAACACCAGAGAAAGCGCCTGATTTTGTTAATGTGGACCCTGCTAGGATTTGCAGGGCTCTTCTGGCCTGGGAACCACAGAATTGCACCTTAAGCCGCCTTTAGGGGGCTAAACCTTACTGCCCTCGAAAGCCTGCCCAAAGGACAGTGGAAGGGACCCGAAATTTTGGAAACCCCAAGATTCACCGATCAGCCCCCATGTGGCTTAGTTTCAAGGTCTCTCTCTGCACGACACAGCTCATGGGTGAAACATTAGGGGATCTACGTAGCAGGGAGTCACACAGGCCAGGAGAGACGTTGTGCCGGACGGAAAGACAAAGTTTAAGCATTCTCGGGATGGGGGAATCTTCTTGTAACTCCGATGTCTCATGACGACGCTCGTGCACTCGCCGCAAGACCCATCACTTTCCAGCCTCTCATTGCGCGGTGCACCCCCAACCCAAAACCTAAGCCCTAAACACCAAAAACCCACAACCCGACAACCTGCTCAAAAATGGCTCTCTGGCGGCTGTGGAATGGGTCGTAGTGCTGGTGAGCTGCCGGTGCCACGGCCCGCAGCGGAGCCTCGACGTTTCAGCGCGACTGCCAGGGCCGTGAGGACGCTTCCAGGCCCCTCGAGCCTGCAGCAAAGGATCGACGTCACCGGGGTTCCACCGCTTTTGGCCGCAAATTTTTGCTTCTTGCAAGGGTCCAGAGATGATCCTCTAAAGGGGCCTTTGGGAGCAAGAAGGGGACCAAACCTAGCCCAAAGTGAGAAGCTCGAAGCTCCAGGGGTGGCCCCCGTTTTAGGGAGGGTCTGTAGCGCGTTAAAGGGAATCTCCGTTCATGATTGAAAGTTGAAGGATGTGTACCGAAGTTTCCTGGTAAGACATGTTTCGCGTGTTGCCCAAATTTGAACCGTTTGCGGCTCACAAGAAAGCAAGAACACGCTGCAAGGCCTTCGTGGTTTTGGTTTCTCAAACAGTATCTTGGAGCGCTTGATGTTGAGCACACAACGGAGATTGATGCTGTGAAACCGCAAAGGAAACTGCGATAGCGTCGGGTGGGAGCGAGCTTGCAGCAACGATCTCGACATCTTTAAGCCTTGCTTGCACCGTTGCTTCAACGGGTCATGTGAGAGTGTGGAATTGGCTATGAAGCATTGAGGCAGCTGATGTGGCTAAACCACAAACTGTCGGTTCGTTGGGGCAGCGAGACATGGGAATCTCATTAAGTAGCATCCCTGAACGTGGCTCGGCAGCCTCGGCGCCCAAAAGCCCTGAGCACCCTACGAATCCCAAACCCGAAACACAAACGACCCGAAAACCTCGAGGAAAAGTACTAAAAGTGCTCGGGCCCCAGCTTGACCACCACAGGCACGACGGGCAGGGCATCCGCCCTTGCATTCAGGGTCCTCACTGGGGGTTTCACGTTTAGGGCCTTAGGGCCTTAAAAGCCTTAGGGCCTCATTGCGCAAGTAGAAACTGGTCTTTGGTGTTCATGCTTGGCCAGGACAACCCAAGCCTGTAACAGCCTCTCAACTCTGCCGCTCTTGACCTTGACCATGGCAAGCGTCCTGTAACCATGCTCGGAAGGAGCCAAGAAGCGGATGCGCGATGCGTATGGCACGCCTTGGCGCAGTCGCTTTTGAGATTCCTGAATAACCTCCAAGCGTTCTCAGCATTGCCTTGCTGAACTAGCAGTAGGTTAGAGAGCGGTGAGGCTTGATTTTGCAGGCACATCGTCACCACTGATGCCAAAAGAAAAGTGCTGAGCGCGTTGCCTAAGTCCTCCCATTTCTTCATGACCTACAGAATATCCATGAACACGGCAGCAGACGGACACAGTACTGCAGATTCAAATGTGGGCAAAGCTGGGGAGACAGCGCTCTGTGGGGTTAGCTCCATATTGGGACACCTCATCGAGTACACCTCAGAGGCACACTCTCAACAAAGCCTCTAAACCGATTCAAGATCACGACGTGTGCAACACTGTGCCTCCATGGTTAGCACAAAGGCGCAAAGCTTACGCTCAACTGAACCATATGTCCGCATATCGCCGCCAATCTAGGGAAATTGTGTGAGAACTAGATTAACAAGACAATTGAGGCCCTCACGTCACCTTGAATGTCGAAGCTCACCTGGTAGAAAGGCGAAACACATCCTACAAGAATAAGTGGCTGCTGTGTACTGCCATTTGGACAACCAAAAACACCGCGGTGCCTGACGGTGAGCCGGGCTTGGGTCTAACCATGAAATAATTACAAACCTGCAGCCGTCTTGCCAGCCTGCACCCCACACACCCAAGCACACCGGACAAACAGATCATATCACAAACCTCATTCTCAAGGCTCAAGGCATTAAACATTGCACCTTGTGCACCCCGCCAATACCGCAACAGAGCTTCAGACCGCCCAACACGTGAACACATGGAAACAGCCCCGGAACATCCGGCGGAACATCCCGCGGAACCTCTGAAACATCCAAGAGGCCTCCATTGGGCTGGGGTCCACGTGCTCCAAATCGTCCAGGCTGAAGTGAATTTTGGGCTGAAGTTGGGGGTTAGCCAGTTTGGGTCTGGGACAAGTCCATCATGGCCCCCACGAACGAAAAACACATAGACAAACCGTTCAAAACGAAACCCGCCACCTCTACCCGGTACATATGCCACACTTCCCGGATCTGGAGGATACGGCTGTCCCGATCTTGAAGGCATGTCTCTGGCAAAAGCTTTTAACGCGACTCTCATGAAACCTGACGGAATGCCGCGGAATATGGCGAAATGCAACAACGAACCTTGGAATGACCTCCCAAAGCTGACATGACTATGTTGCTCGGTGTGTCCCCCGTTACGCCCAACCAAAGCAAGCCCGCGCAACCTTCGCAAGACAAACAAACCCAAAAAGATTGAAAAAAGCTGCTAGGGCTCAGACTCGAACATCTTCCACGGATTGCACGGATGGCGGCAGACAAGCGAAGTTGCACTGTGGTATCAAGCATTGAAATCTGGGACACTTCGTGCCAGTAGGAAGTGGGCTCGAAAGTGAAGAAACACCGTAAATCGCACGCTGGGCTCTTGTGAATTGTTGCCAATGCTGCTGATCCGAAGGTCGCCAGGCGCCTGTTCACGAAAAGCCCTGCCTGACCCACAGCTTCGTTTTCATCGTCGCTGTTCCAAGGATGTGGACCACATGTCTGTTTTTTGCGCATGCAGATCGGTTTTGTGTTGTAAGTTCATGTACGAGAAGGGGTGATCGGCGGGGTTTGTGAGGGTGCCCGTGTGCATGTGTACGTGCGTGTGTTTGAGTGTGTGGTCGTGTGCGGTTCTGTGCGGGAGCACTGACATGTTTATGTGTTTGCATGCACGCGATTGCAAGTTGGGCTCGTATGCATGCGTCTGCGCACATGTGCAGGGTGTGCGCATGCGATGCATGCATGCCGTCCGCGCCACCAAGCACAGAAACGCAAACGAACCAAAACAACACACCAAGGATTAGAAGACTGCGGGTGGGAAGCATCAGCAAAACGACGTGCACTAGGTGAGACAGCAACAGCGCGTTGCCTAACCGGCGGGCACTCAAAAGAAGAGCTCGACACTTGATAAAATTATTCCCCCTCCTTTAGGAGGGTCGGGGGGGGTCGGGGGGGGGTCCACAATGGGCGGGGCCTCTGATTGCAATCAAGATTTCCATCAGGCCTGATGGTTTTCAATCAAGATGTCCATCAGGCCTGCTGGATATTCCATCAGGGCTGATGGCTTTCAATCAAGATTTCAATCAAGCCTGATGGGAATTCCATCAGGCCTGCGGGTTTTCAATCTAGATTTCCATCAGACCTGATATAAATTCCGTCAGGCATGATGGTTTTCAATCAAGATATCCATCCGGCCTGATCGAAATTCCATCAGGCCTGATGGTTTTCCAAGCTCCTCAACCCCAAACCCTAAAACCCTCACTGCAGGTTTAGGGTTTACGGGTTTTTTTGGGGTGTAGGGATTAAGGTTTCGAGTAAAACCTTAATTCATTTTAAAAGGGGCTGAATTGAGGTCTACCCCTCCTAAACCCTGTAAGCTTTATAAGCTCTAAGCATAACCCCTTCATATTGAGGGCCCCTCCAGATGTCTTGCTAATGGTGGTATCTTCATGCCGTGCCCCTTCACCCTGCACCTTAACCCTAAACGTACCCTAAGTCGCAAGGAAGGCTCCCCAACCCAAATCCTAAACCCTAAACCCTAAAGTCCTACACCTGGGAAACAAAAAGGACACTCTCCAGTTCAAAAGTTGCTCGGGCGGTTTTGGAGGGGTAGGGTCTTTCGGTCCTGGTTTAAGGATTGAAGGGGTTCAGGTTGGGTCTGTATACTGTATACTAAAAAGTCCTCTTCAGGGTTGAGGTTCAGTGTTGAGGTTGACTGGAGCTGATACTTGCGGCTCAGGTCTTGGGGCTTAAATTTGTGCACACCTTCCCTAAACCCTAAACTACTAATTGCTTTAAAAAACATGCAAACACACATTTTCTTAATCAGGGGAATACAAGAGTTGTCATTTACATTTTTTGGTGCGTTCTTAAGCAAATAGCAGTAAAATCCCTGAAAAACCTAGGAGATGTAGACAAGCCACCAGGATTGTACTTGATGATGACGGCTTCACTTAAGCAGGAGTTGGCTTGACGTGCTGGAAGGGACGGAGAAGATACCGCAGAGGGAGCAGGGAAATTCTAAGCATCAATTTACATTCAAGATGAAAGAAGAAACAACTTCGAATCCCAATCCTTGGGTGTTCTAATCTGTTGTGATTTTTTGGTCAGCTTTTTTAGAGGCTTGCCTTTTTTCCGTTTAGAGCGGTTTGAATTAACAAAAGGGGGCGGCTACACGTATGTGCGTTGCAAAGCGCATGTTAAGCCGTAAACGAGGAAAAAGACGGGTGGCCCATATGAGATTTCTTTATGTTGCCCAGCCATGGCCCATGAAGGGATAAGAAGACTGCATGCACATGCACGCTTCCACAGTGTCCTTTGAACCTGATGTAAGCCAAACAGAGGGCTGTCGAGCATGTGTTGTGTGATCTGCAGGGCATTGCTCAATATCTTTTTCGCAGGCAATCGCCTGCGTGTAGCCAAGGCCGCCCTCATACGGCGACACAAAACAGCTAGGGCGATCTTTGGCACTATCAGATATGCCACACAGCTGTTCGCATTTACGGATTACAAGCCGTGGGTGCTCCGCTACATGAGGCTCTTGTCAGATCAGAAACGAGCTGAGCTGGCGGTGGAGTACAATGTCTTGTTGTCGCTACATCGACTGCCAATGAATGGTCCCCGTCTCCGGGCCCGTCATGGCTGCTGGGACCGCAATCCTGCCCAGACCTACTACTGCTTCTACCTGCTCCGAAATCACTTTGAGCAGCAATTGAGAATCACTTGGTGATTTGGAGCACAACAAGCTACTAATCTCAGGTGCGCAGTCGAAGACGGGCTGGACACTGACGATGGCGCTAAGCTGGCATGGATGGTTAGCTTTTTAAGCCTGAAGGCGCTAAAGCCATGCTGGTGCACGCTGAGGACGACATAGACGTTTCTGAGAGTGATAGCCTAGAATGAAGCGTTTCTTTCTCGTGTGTAGAAGGTTGGGTGGCCAGGAGGGAACACAACCTTAGCACCGTCTGCTCCGGCCTACAATGTACCTTACCAAATGCTTCAGCTGAGCCAGGCTTGCCAATGTGGGTGACTTCACGTCACACGACAGTTCCTTGACAGCGTAAGAGCAATCCGGCAGAACGAAAGCTGGCCAGAGCAACTTCCCTGCTACGGTTCGGTACTTTGCGTGCTCAACAGGCTCCAATGGCGTGTCTGCGTCTTGCACGCGTTTCAATGAGCCCATGACGGCGCAGGCAAAGCCAGTCGAAGAAGCACTCGATCGCCACTTCACATTCACATAAGGCGCGAGCTGCACCAACACGAGCCATTGCGAAATTTCCTGGCGGATCTGGGCTGACTCGAGCCGCACATTCTGCGCATTCCGACGATGTCACTCCGCACAAAGTGTTCTACGAGACATGCTCGTTGCCTGCCTGATGTCGAATGCCCCATATGCCAACAAAATTCTTGGCTTCCAGCCTCCGGACCCTCACTGGATGTGGGGCTTCAGACCTCTGCTCACTTCAAACTTTAGAGCAACTCGCTTCAGATCTTCAAACGACTCACTGCCATGAACAAGCAATGGCTTCGGCATTTTTCCGACAGTAGAACCCATCACCGAATCTTGCATCTTTAATCCGCCATTTTGACCGCTTAGCAAAACCCTTGAACTCAAACTCCAGAGCGACTGCAACGTCTTTTCTGATGGGGGCGCAACGAGGTGCCGTGCTCGACGGCAGGGTTAGGCTGTTCTGACACTCGGGTCAGCGCACTCCTGAACTGTAGGGCGGGCGGGCGGGGCTCACTCTGAGCTCAGCTGCCGCGCAGCAGCTCCCACCACCCTCCCATTCGCTGAGCAACTGCATACAGAGAAAGAGGAGTGCGCATGCGTAGCACAGAGAGGTTTTGCCATGCTCGGCTCCAGCCTCTCTCGCTTAATCAAAATATCCTAGGAACCCTGCGGTTTCCAAAGAATCGCATGTACATCGGAATCGAGACTATTGATCAACTTCATAAATTTTTCATTTCAGACAACAATTTCCGGAATGCTTGGGGCTTTCACGGTCTGGTTTCCTAACTGCGATACAGGCATTTAGCTCGTGATATTTCTTCGCCACCCACGAAGCCAGACTGTTGATAAGTGCCTTCACTTTCAACATACGTCTGCAGAATCAGAGAACTCTTCTCATGACTTGCAAACGTCTGTCGCAGGATGTCATTGGGAAACACAATCCAAACCCAACTGGTCAACTTCTCCATCCAGGTCAAGAAGCCGAGCGCTTCCAAGATGCGATCTTTCCATGACGAGAAGTCAATGGTCAATGGTCGGCAAACTGGGCAACCACTTGTCTGATCGGGCAAACACATCTCTTTTTACCGTCTTCTGCACCCCGTTACCCTTCGAAGCCTTCGAAGCCGAAGGGTCGAAGGGGGGGGGGAGGGGGGGGGTGAAGGTCTGAAGCCTCGAAGGTGAGGACGAAGGCTTCCAAGGCTTCGAAGGGTGAGGACGAAGGCTTCGAAGGCTTCCAAAAATGAGGACGAAGGGGCTTCGAAGGCTTCCAAGGTGAGGACGAAGGGGGCTTCGAAGGCTTCGAAGGCGAGGACGAAGGGGGGAGGGCTTCCAAGGCTTCGAAGGCTTCGAAGGGTGAGGACAAAGGGGGGGGGGGGCTTCGAAGGCTTCGAAGGGTGAGGACGAAGGGGGCTTCGAAGGTGAGGACGAAGGGGCTTCGAAGGCTTGGAAGGTGAGAGACGGAGGCATCTCCAGAGTCTTCTCTGAGTTTCGAAGAATGAGATCCAAAAATGAGATCCAAAAAACAAAACAAGATTCGGGTGGGTGGAATTTAGAAGAAGTCCCTTCTCTCTCATC